ATATATATATATATATATATATATATATATATATATATATAAATTGTATACCAAATGTCACCCAAAATGAATAAAATGTTACCAACTTTCCGTAAAAGTTCATCAAATTGTTCATTAATAATCTATGCCTTCTATGCTATCTTTGCAACCAACGAATAACCTGCACAAAAAGAAACCAAAAGAACAAATATGTCAAATAACGGTAAACATGTAAAAGTGATACAATAATCAACTTCAAATTCTATTTAAAAAGCGTTTTATCTGAAAAATTCAAAGCACAAACACAAATACAACAATTATTGATTTAAATTTTTACCTGAGAACTTCTGGATGATACTTCTTTCTGCATGATTTTTCTGTATAACACTATCTTTTTTACAGACGAGGCGTGCTTCCTTCCGCCATTCTCCGCCATTTTTTTAAAATCGATCGTAAGAAACATCGATTATTCCGAGAATCGTAGAAAGTATATTGCGTATTTCACCGTTGGCGCTGTAATCTTTAACTAGTTTGAACTCAACACGCGCGCATGCGCATAACGTTAACTTATTGTTAGAATAAAAAATAAAAATTCATAGAAATTCTTAAAAAAAGAACGAAAATACTTATACACTGGATGAAAAATTGTCAACATTTTAATCTGTTATAATTTTGTGAAAAAAATTGTAGAACAATTAACTTGATTTTATTTTAAAGAGTGAAGTCTCCATTTTAACATTCTTGAGTTTATTTCGTTTAAAGATATCTTTTTTTACATCATGCAGCAAGTCATGGCCTCGCGTGTGTTAGAATGTTTCTTTAGTGACTAAGTATTTAGTGAACGGCGAAGTTAGGTCGGTAAAGTTAGGAACATAAACGAGTTACTACAGTTATCGACGAAACAGAGGACGAACTTGACGTCACAGATGAGGTACTGGACGTGCAGTGATTTTCTGTGTCTTGCAATTTAAAGTGTCAAGTGAGGAATGAAATTTCATTTAAATCGCAGACGATGTACAGAATAGACATAAGAGGTAATACATTTCTATTACTACATGTTAATTATTATAGTAATACATAGTTAATAAAACATAAACACTGAAATGTTACTACTCACAGATAGAAAAATTCGATGCCATATTTCTTCGATTGATTTCCGTAATCAGCCAATAACCTATACAAAAAGTAAATTAAGATTTAAGATGAATGTATGAAGCTAACACTAATTATGTTAGAATAAAGTAATAAGTATGTTCAAATTTTATCTCAGAATTATTAGCTTATAATATAACCTATTCGTAACTGCGACGAAATAGACGAAGAACAAAATACAACAAGAAAATATTTACAATAATGACGAAGTATTAAATAAAAACATATTAGATATACGAATCTATTCTAGTATTTTATGAAAATAATAGCATAGTAGAAATATCACGAAATTGAAATCACACACCAAACGTGAAAAGCAATATTCTTTGACGTATAGCTGACGTCGTCTCGCGCCAAAAATTGTCTCGCTACTTTCCTATTGGCTGACGCGGAATAGTTTCTTTTTCATTTAAAACCGCGCGTAAATTCGAAACATTGCACGTCGAGAAAATTTCCTCGGTTAACGAATTATGACAGCTTTAGACCACATATCATGACAAAAGGAAAATTTATAATTATAAAATATAAAATTACATATAATTATAAAATTCAAATTTCATAAATAGCAAATTATGGTAGTAAAAACTAATATTACGAAAGTTAAAATGTAGCTTATAAAAACTATATAAATCATCATATTCATTGTAATAAATTAGTGGAAGTGAAAATATAAAATTTGTTAAATTATTATTATAATTATAGACAAACTGTTTTTTGAAATGTTAACAAAGATTGTCAATTATTAGTGATAATATCTGAAGATCAGAATGACTTATTGTTAGTCAACAAAGAAATATATTTCCACTTTCAAAAATTATAAAAGAATTAATTTGATCTTGAAATTTCTCTCCATCACTACAAAAAGATAATTTGCACTACATAATGTGCTTTTATACGAAACAATATTTGTAAAAACATTAATCGATTTTGTGAGATAAAATATACACTGTATATACGCTTGTATTTTTTTATTAAATCTTCATGATATGATGATTTATATCATATTGCATATTATTGCTATGATGATTTACATCATTGAATTTTTTTCTATTTTCAGAACATTTTTAATATTGAAACAAACATTTATAAAAAAAAAATCTCATGTATGATCTTATCTTTAGTCAATGGTCAAATTATATATTTTAATCAGATTCTGTATCTCGTCTATATTGGAAGAACTGAAAGCATACAACTTACCATTCGTAGATAATACTAACGCTAATAGAACTTCTTATGCATCAGTTATTGAAATGAAAATTGAAATATAAATTAATTGTGGTTAACAAGCTTTTAGGCAAACGAATAATTCGCGAATTGAAATTATATTAAATATATGTGATTTTCGATTTCAAAATTAGATTATATAAGACCAACAGTTGGTACAATAGAAGATTATAATTTTTCCAAGATGTGATATGATTTTCTCAATTTATTAATAAAAATAATTAAATTTTTCACACAGTAAGAAATACTTGCAATGTGGACAGATATTTTCGTAAGACTTTCATTCATTTATTCTTGAATCATAATCTTAAAATATATCTATAAAAATCATCCACAAAATTGTAACTTACGAAAATTTTGAAAAATAGTTTTTACAAAGTTTAATAATTCGTCGAATGTTTAATAATTCATCGACAAATAACATTTTTCACGTGGAAAGTGTTTCACTTTCTTCCGGCGTCACGTGCAGTTCTAAGTGAAACTTCTTTGTAAATGCAATAACATGATCTCATGTAACGAGTAACAGCCGAATCGTGATCGGTAAACAAAGATATATACTCTACGGTTTCTTGGAAGAAGAAAGTAATCTTTCAGTAGTATTCAGTTATTTCATTTTTTATGAGATTACTTACTTAAGGATTAAGAATGCTTCTGAATCTTCAAAAATACAAGTGTCCAGAAAGCAATGAAAGCCACTCGATTTAGAATTCTTGGAGTCGCTATTATTATTATTCTAGAATAATAATAATAGCGGCCACGGAACGAAAATTATTCTACCAATGTCCTTCGCAGTTGTTCACAATACCGCCATAGTTACGCATTTAATTCTAGGCGCGGGAAAAAGTGACGACACTGATTGTCGTATGATTAATTCACAGTGAATCAAATTAATATCGTAGTTCAAATAAATTGATTAAAAAACTTATTCTTCTTACTCAGATCTTTTCAATACCAGCTCTGTATTAAATTAATCCAACTGCATCCTTTCAGACATTTTCTGTGATATTAAAAAATATCTCAAATTTAATTCTTTTAAGAAATTTAAGAAATTGTGTCAAAAGGAAGCAGCTTCTTTTATTTTATTGTTCTGCTTTTTCATTGTATTATAGTTTTTTTTTAAATTTTATTCCGCACTATGAAATATTTTATCTGCTTTTATACAAGAAGTATGTAAAAGTTATGTAAAATTTACTATATCAACTAAATATTATAAAGGTGAAAATCCTAAGTGATTAAACGAAATATGAAAAAGTTAATTACACTCTTTTAAAATATTATAAATTTAACAATTTCTTTGCTGAAATATAAATAGCAATTTAAGGACCATAAAATTGAGATAACGGATAATCTACGGGTAATTATAGTACTGTTAATAGCTATTTTTACTATTATGCTCGTGGTAGTAGTTCATTTGTTATGCATCCAATAATGGAATAATTGCACTCATATTCAGTTTCTCCGGGCAAACTGTTTTCATATCACTGCGCAGAAGAATTTCTAATTGCCACGTAATCAAGAATCAAGGAATCGGTATCCTTGTTGCAGATAATC